GGGAAAGAGAGTAGCTCCAGGTCACACAGCAGAGCATATGTGATCAGGCTGGGATTATAATCTGATGTTCTTTTCACTCTCCCATGATGAAAATGCAACCACAAGGCTGGGTGAAAAACGGGTGACACGTAAATCATTATGACTCAATTTTTCAGTCTCAAAGGATGAATGTTCTTACCACTACCCAAGATCATAAATGGCAGAAAGTAAATGTGATTTTAAGAAAATGCTTTTATCTGTTGGTTTTCTTAAGGGCTACAACCTCTACCACTGCCCATCACCGAGGCAGATGATCTCCCATGGGTTAGTGGAGCAGACTCCCTCAGCTAGAACCACCTCAGTCCCCACCCCCCAAAACATTGTCTTTGCAGTGTCTTCCTTAGAATTTACACCAAGGACCAGATGTTCTCTGGATTAACACCTGTTTGCTAACCATCTGTTTCTTTGGAAGTAATGCTCCCACCTTCTTGCAGCCCCAAAGCACCTGCCAGCAAAACTAGCCATGGCCCAGTATTACCCCAGGTGGTCCCCAAAGCTCCTGGGGGATCACAAAACCATTACCTGGAGACAAACGAAACATTTGGGGGAAGAAAAATAAACGCCAAATATTAAAAGAAGGCTCCCTTTATTTAAAAAATCAGATACAAGCACTAAACTCCATGAGCTGGAGAGCACCAAAGAGAAGGGGCCCCCAAAATATATGCAGATGGAGAGTGGAATCAATCAGAAATCCATTTTATTCTTCCTGAAGAACAAAACACACCTTCTCAACAGTGGACCCCACTCTCAGGCAACATGGCCATGGTGCCCTGATTCAGGTGGGATTAAAGATTTCCTTCCAAAGTCACTGGGATGAAGAGCCATTCCACTTTAACCCCTGTACAACCTTTTTAAACACACAACTCCTCGGGCAGTCCTTTCTGGCACCCGGTTGGAGGGCGAACTGAAGTTTCCAGTGTAAGGGTGCTCTCTGCTGAAAACACCAGAGTCACAAACTCCACCCAGGCCCTGGGAAGGCTGAGCTCCCCCGTCTCACGCCGTCCTCATCAGAGTCGTTCCTTTGCAGAGCTTGGGGGCCCTCAAGCCAGCAATACCTGAAGCAGCTCTGACCTCACCAGAGACTTCTCAGACTCAAACTCATGGCCATCAGCCCTGGGGGAGATGGTGGCTGAAAGGCACAGAGCCAGGAAGGCCTTCTGAGTCCAAATCACACGCTAACTTTAGAAGTGGGCATGTCTGGGAGCTGTTGTTTCACTAAGAATGGACTTACTCTTTCTGCTTGAGTTTTAGGATCTCCAGCAAATGAGTTGTGTGTGTGTGTGTGTGTGTGTGTGTGTGTGTGTGTGTGTGTGGTGGGGAGGGCGTGACTGGGCTTTGAGAGATGACCTGCTGAAAAACCAAGACACAAAGACCGAGAGGGGCAAAGCAAGCATCCTTAGGCACAGAAGGGAGATCTGGTGACTCATATTAACCTGTTAATTTATACCGTGGCTCTGTACAAAAATAAAAAGGTTCTCATAAGATTAACAATTTAAATAAATATCTGATAGAATACTCTTTTTCTCGTTTTTATAGCTCATCTTTGGGGTTGATATTTGGTTTGTGCTTCCCTTGCTGTGCTTGATCCAGGATCGCGATCACTTCATCAGCCTGTATTCGCTCCTGCAAAAAAAGACAATTTACACATTGCTGTTACAAGCATACTAATCAGTGGCAGAAGCTTTCTCAACACTCCCAGGCATCCATCTGTACATGGATGGGTGCTAAATCTGGCTAAGAATGAAACCTCATCTCCATCCCTACCCGGGTACCTTCTCTTAACTTCCCTATGTCCTGAGCAATTACTTTCCAAGATTTCTCTCTTGCCAAGCAATCTTGTATATTCAACTGCTGACTTCCCTTGCTACTTTGTGGTCCCACAGAGATCTCCAATTCAGTTCTCCAGGTCAGAGTTCAAGCTGAATTCACCGTTTTCTCCCCCACAGGCCTACTCTGTCCTCTTCACATATTTCTTCTCTCAGTAGAGACCGCCACTGCTCCCCCATTTGCCCCAAAAGCCTGACCAGGGTTTATTGGATCTGATAAATCACCAGTCCTCTCTGTTCTGCCTCCTGTTTCTGCCCCCTCTTTTTTCAGTGCACATACCGTTGCCTTACTTTAGGCCACTGTTTCTCAACCTTGGCACGGCTGACGTCTTGGAGCAGATAACTCTCTGTTGGGTGGGTTGTCCTGTGCATTGTAGGATGTTTAGCAGCATCCCTGGCTTCTGCCTACTACAGGTAACCAGTGGCACATGCCTGGCCCCAAGTCGTGACAACCAAACATGTCTCTAAATGTTGCCAAATGTGCCCTATAGGACGCAAAATTGCTCCTGCTTGAGGACCATGGGTTTACGCTCTCATCATCTCTTAACTCAGTTACTGCGGCAGCTTCCAAATTGATCTGTTTCACACCCCCTCCCACGTGCTTCTGATGGACTCTCTGTACTTGAATCATGATCCCCACCCTTTCCTGCTCACTGATCACAACCTTCACGTGGGTTCCCATTGCTCCACGCTCCAGGTGGGATCTTCTTTTTTTTTTTTTCTCAGTACACGGGCCCCTCACTGTTGTGGCCTCTCCCGTTGCGGAGCACAGGCTCCGGACGCGCAGGCTCAGCGGCCATGGCTCACGGGCCTAGCCGCTCCGCGGCATGTGTGATCTTCCTGGACCAGGGCACGAACCCGTGTCCCCTGCATCGACAGATGGACTCTCAACCACTGTGCCACCAGGGAAGCCCTTTCTTTTTTCTTTAAGAAGATGTTGGGAGTAGGAGTTTATTATTTTATTTATTGATTTTTGCTGTTGGGTCTTCGTTTCTGTGCGAGGGCATTCTCTAGCTTCAGCAACTGGGGGGCCACTCTTCATCGCGGTGCATGGGCCTCTCACTATCGCGGCCTCTCTTGTTGCGGATCACAGGCTCCAGACGCGCAGGCTCAGTAGTTGTGGCTCACGGGCCCAGTTGCTCCGCGGCATGTGGGATCCTCCCGGACCAGGGCTCGAACCCATGTCCCCTGCATCGGCAGGCGGATTCTCAACCACTGCGCCACCCGGGAAGCCTCCAGGTCCGACCTTCTTGATGTGCTTATAAGGACTCTGACTTTTCTTTCTTCTTCAGTTCACCTTGTCTTCCCCTCTCACCTCACCTTACATTCCACCTTCCTGACTTACCGCAAGGTCTCTGAATGCAGCACTCTGAGAAGGACTTCCTCATCATAGTCCAGGTTAAGTGCCCCTAGGATTTAAAGGATGCTTCCAGTGTATCCTATGCTTTCTCTTATCCCCACACCAATCCTTCAACAGGCCCAGCTGGTCTACCTCCAAATGGCATCTCCAATCGCCCACATCTTTTCACCGTCTTTATCATGACTCTAGTCTACGACGTGTTAGCTACAGTAATCTTTCCTCTCCTGTAACTCCTGGCGCTGGAGGAGGTGAGGAAGGAATATGGCACCCCCTGTACATTTAGAGTAGAATTCGTATTTCTTGAGCAGCTTGTCCATCTGATCACCGCCTCCTCTGTGCCCTCTTTTCAGCCCGCTCTCCACCTTGCATGCCCTGTTCTGGCCACCCTGGCGTTCTTTGCTTCTTGACTGTTCTGTGCTCCCTCTTGGCTCTGGGCCTTTACAACCTCTTCTCGCCCTGGAATACTCCTCCGAAGACCTTTACCACGGTTAGCTCCTTCTTGTCACTTGTCTGGAGGCCCCTCACACTTCACCCCCGGCTCCTTTCTACTCTCAGATCAGTTGCCTTGTTCTCTTTCCCACATATCATTTTTCACTATCTGAAAATCCCTCAATTATTTATTCTTTTACTTATTTGTTGTCTTTTTCCACTAGAAGGTAAGCTCCATGAAAGCAGGGAGCCTTGCCATGTTTGGTCACTGTTGTTTTTCCTGTGTCCAGAAAAGCTACAGACATTTGGCAAGGGAGTATTATAGTTGATGAATAAATACAGAATTGGATGAAGGGCTGTCCCTGTCTAAAACATCTCTCCCTAAGGAAATCATGCTCATCTTCTAAAGCTCATGTCAAATGCCATCTCCTCAACGAAGCCTTTCCTGGTTTCCTCTTTCTATCCCCTAAACACCATGCATTTTTAAAAATTAATTAATTTTATTTTTAGCTGTGTCTCTTCTTAGTTGCTGCATGCGGGATCTTTCGTTGCAGTGTGCCGGCTCTTCGTTGTGGCACACGGGCTTCTCTAGTTGTGGCGTGCGGGCTCTCTAGTTGTGACCCGTGTGCTCAGTAGTTGTGGCGCATGGGCTTAGTTGCCCCGCGGCACGTGAGATCTTAGCTCCCCAGCCAGGGATTGAACCAGTGTCCCCTGCATTGCAGGACGGATTCTTAACCACTGGACCATGAGGGAAGTCCCCACCATGCATTTTTGCCTCTAATAATTCCTATTGAACTTTGCTATGCTTTTATTACTCAGGACCCTGTATTATCTCTTCACTTTGACTTTAAGCTCCCTGAAAATAAAAGTTATGTCTTATCTAGTTTGTATGTCCTATAGGTAGTCCCTAGCACAATGTCCAGCATAGTAAGTTATATAAAGAACTATTTTATGACTTGAAAACAAAGCCTCTTGTATTCAAGAGCTTGTGATTGAGCACGATATTGACCAAAAGGCACCTACAAGGACCAAATATACTAAATAACAGAAAACTAAACTGTCTTGATGTCCAAATAAAATGGGTGAGTATTACTTTTATGAATATGGGGAGAACATCCTGCTGATTAGCAAACTGATGTAGATACAAAATGTCGCAATCTGAATGCACAGGAGACTGTTGTCATGTACGTCCTGAAAGGAAAGATGTTTAAGAGCTGCAAGTCTCTATACAAGCAACTGAAGCTTCTAATATTGGGCATCCTTACCGGTGTATGTTGCTAAATACTCCTTGAGAATTCAGTGCCTTTAAAGTAATATATGAGCATGGAAGTCTGCCAGTTCTCATGATGTATTGATAGGCAGGCTCTCTTTGCCCCGGTATTCAACCTGAGAGTAGATGCCTAACTCAGGGACTCTGAAGATTTTTTGCACATTGAAATCACCTGGGGAGCTTTTAAAACTTCCGACACTTAGGTTACAGCCCAAATCAATTAACCCAGAATTTCCAAGGGTGGTAGACAAAATGTCAATCGTTTGTAAAGATCGCCAATTGATTCCAGTGTGGAGCAAAGTCTGGGAATCACATCATAGGCAAAATTTTCTAGCAGTTGCTTCAGAGGCTCTGGTCATTTTCTTCTGTGACCACTAGATGTCGCCACAGCCTGGAGATTGAAGAATTTTCCTAACACTGTACTTTCCAGGTTAGCAAGGCTCAAAGAGAACTTTGTGTTAGCTTATTTCGATATAAAAAATATCTTGGGAGAGAGGGCCGAGGTAATGAATAATAATACAGGTTAAATGTTTATTGAATTAAACACTAAAGGGAAAAAAGGGCGAGGCAATTTTTCAACAATGTGATAGCTGCACTGCGTACTCAGGTACCTAGTTTCCTTAGTCCAGAAGGAGTAATGTGGAGGAACGCTGACATTTTGGATGTGGAGACACAGGAGGAGAGAGGAATTACAGGTGAAGGAAGTGAAGTTTTCAGATCTCTCCCTGCTCTGCTCCCTCTGTCAGGACCATCCTTTTCTCTTTCTGTGGCTGGCTATCATCCTCTGCTCTCTTAGGATTGCGCTTATGTACGGAAGTCTTCCTTGCTATCCCCCTGCAAACGCAGACTGCTGTTTTCTCCCCGTCATTTGCTTTTCAGCCTTTCTAAGCTCCTCGTGGCCAAAGCTATGCTTTGTTCAACTGTGTACCCCCAGGGCCTACCTAGTGGAGTTTTCCAGGCACAGAGTAGATCTTCCATAAACATTTGTGAAACATATGAATGAATGCTTAGGGGATATGGCTTAAAAACTGAGTCAGGTTTGATGGCAAAAAGTATATGAGAAAGAGAAACTCATTTTAAAGTTTCTGATGACATTGGATTCAATTTAGGGATGTAAAGAGGACATCTGGTTAGAATGCCATTTGCAAGACTAGAATTTCATAGCTCCATTAAGACTCAAGGCTGGAGAAGACTTTGAAGTCGTCCGGTTTAGTCCTTGCCATGAAGTTCCAGGTTCAGGTTCAGCATTCCATGCCAAGCAGTTGCTGAGGCTTTGACTGGAGCCGTCCAGCGACAAGAAACTCAATACTTCCAAAGAAGACAAGTCCACCAAACAGTGCTGACGATTAGAAAGTTATTCCTTATGTTGAGCCTAGATTTTCCTCCCAGGGGCTTGTATCCAGAGGTCTTAATTCATCCTTCTGCAGCCTCACAGACAGACACCATAATCTCTGCCCACAGCATCCAGAAGAATATGATCATGGTCTACTTCCAATAGAATAATAACAATATTTTAATATTTAATTTAATAGTAGTAAATGATAAACTTTCAGGTGTCCTCACCCTCTTGTATATATGTTTCATAAATTATTCAGTGAACTTTTAAAGGATTTGTTGAGAAAACAAATCAGTCTTCCCAGTGACCAGTAAAAAATGATTCCTCTCTCTTGATGCTACAATTTATTAATAAACTCAAGACTAATTAGAGACTGCCAAATATGGCTGTGATGTCTATTTCTGCAAACCTTCACTTCTAAGAACCCATCTGATTAAGAACTGCAGTCACAGCCCTTCTTTTCCTCAAACTCATCCTACAAACATCAAATGTGTAATTTGCTAGGTTATGGATCTGATTAACAAAATTTGTTCTTGCTTAGAAAACAGAGCCAGTGTTGGAAACCAGACAGAAAGGATTCTGTAGAAGTTTTTGTTTTGTTTTGGTTTGGTTTCGGTTTGTTTTTTTCCCCATGATCTCTAAGATCCCTGAAGGGTTATGGATCAAAAGGGCTTTTCCGATAAATCAGTTCATGAAGCAGGTCTATGGGATGTCTCAGTGGCTTTCTGGGTGGGTCAGAAACTCACCAATTCTCTGTAGAGTGGGTCCAAGGTAAACCACAGAGCCACAGCACACCTCTGGCCCTTGGTGACTGCCTTCACCCCATGTGGGTTCTCTCCTCCAGATGAGAAGCTGATCATACGCCCACACTTTGGTTTTATAGAGGCCTGAGAAAGAGAGTGAAAATTTGGCTCTCAATTCCCATACTGTTAACGTTTCTACAATCCCCCTTCTCTATCCTTCTAATGGAATCCTGGGGTTGAAAACTGCTTCAATTTCCTCGTCTGTAAAACAAAGATAAGGTCAAAACAATACCTAATTCAGAAAATAAAGTTATCAGGTAAAACAGTTGGCACAGTCCATGGCAAATGCTAATTGCTCAATACATGCTATGTTGGTAGCTGGTAAACTCCATGGAGGCAAAGGCCCTCTCTTTTAATTCACGTCTCTAATTTTAGCACTAGCACAACATCTGGCCTAAGTAGATGTACATTTAATATTTGTGGAATGACAAAAACAAATCAAGGGGACATGTAAAGTACTGGTAAATTCTTATAATTGATCTAGGTAGTGGTTCCATGGATGCACCCTTTCTAATTCCTTATTGTGCATTTATGGTTTGTGAACTTCTCATAATACAAAAATTTTTTAAAGTCAAGTCTAATCCCATGTGATACTTTAATTCCTGTTACAATATTCCTGCCCAGTAGTCCTCAGCCAATGTTTTCATACCTCCAGTGATGAGAACACACCACCCCTTCAGGTGACCAATTCCATGGCCTCCAGGGCTCTGGAATGATGGGCACAGTCCTTCCAAGCTTGGCTCAGATGGAGCTGTCCACTAATGATTAGCTAGGACAGGGGAGAAGGGAAAGAGGCACTGCTGGGGGGCCCTGAGCCAGAGCATTAGATCAAACAAGCAGGCTCTCCAAACTGGGTAAGCTGAAGCAATGGAATATTAGGGGTCTTGCTTCCGTGAATAAAGTGTCTGCTCTAAGCAGAGTTCATTTTTCTTTCTTGAGAAACACAGAAACCTGACTTATTCCATAGTACAGCTTAGAAATAAAAGCAAGACAGTGGCACCAATCGTTGTACTATTTGATAAGATGGACCAGTTCTAACTAGCTATTTTCTGAATTGATTTGAGTTGATACATGACCATTAGAAGAACCTTTGGTCCCCGTCACCATAAAATGGGATTGGCTAAGTTTTTCCACTGCCAGCTTCAGGAGGAATATTTGGAAGATTTCCTGAAGTCCTTGAGTGCTACTTAACGTAGGTACTCCCAGACTGTGTGATGAACTTGTGGAAGGTCAAAGGTAAGTGGAGTAGTCAAAGATCCTGAGGGGTGTGTGTGTGTGTGTGTGTGTGTGTGTGTGTGTGTGTGTGTTGTGTGTGCGTGTTAAAAGGAAGAGCAGAGAAAAGCAGTCACTTTCTGGGTTACTCTTCTGTTCACAATAATTGAGGAGCGATTTGTCTTTGCTAGAGAGATTTGCTTTTCTCAAGCAGCTTTATCAAAGTGACTTTCTGATGTAAATCTAGGTTCCTAGTTACTGGTGCCTCCAGCATCAATCAGATTTTGTGTTTCTGGAGGAGGAATTTGTTGTGCATTTTCACACAGAAACAGCAAATTAACTAATATTAGAAGACATATGAAGCAGGACAGGAAAGCCTTCCTATACGCATGGCTTTAGGATCTAATTTCAAATTTTCTGAGCTGCTCATTCCTTGGTGCTGGTCAAGTGCTTACTTGTCCACACGCACTTGCCATTGCTTCTATGTGATTAGAGTCTTGGCATCAACATCTTACAATACTAAAGAGATGCTGTGGGAACAATTTAATGCTTTGTCTCTGATGGAAGAATTGAAAACATGTTTACACATGAAGAACTTTGGGAAAAGAAGCTATCCATTGCCTGAAGCAGTTGGGATTGGTTGTAGGTATGTTGAGTCACAAAGGACTAATCTTATCAAATGGAGAGCATCACCTCTCATATATCAGGTATGCGGAGGAATAAACAAGCTCCACTAATGACATTGCTTCTAAGGGAAAATGTATTCTGAAGTTTAAATGATTGTAAACATACGTTTGGAACACAGCCCCACTGAGTTTAGTTTTTCATAAAGCAAATGGAACTCATTGGATTTTATCTTTTTCAAATTTGCACAGAGAAACCAAAATAACTAAATACCCATGTTTCACAAATATGCTGCTGTCGAAAATAATCCATGGTTCTTCCAAGTATGATGAAAGAAAATTCCTTTTGATTTGCATCTGACTGATGATTAAAGTCAGAGAAGGCTTTGTGCTGTACTTGCCTTGAATAAATGTAAATCTTCAGCCACCATTCAGTAATTATACAATTTCCAGATTTTTCCAAAGTAAAGAACTTAGGAGACTATTCTTCCTTGCATAGCACAAAGCTGGGGCATTTCCCTGCTCCAATTTTCCCTCCAGAATCAAGGGAGGGAAAACTGAAAAGAAAAACTATCCATTCCTCTTCGTTATTGGCACTGGTTAACTAAGAATTTTAATTATCTACAAAATGCTCCCAAAACTCTACCATATGCATTAATCTGAAGTAGAACTAATTTTTGAAAATAGATCTCTCAACTTGGAGTCTTTTCATTAAAACATTGTTTAAATTAGTTTTTCTTTTACTTTTTTAGGGGATGGTGGTGGTTAGATTCAGTACTTTTAAAAATAGCTGCATCTTTATCTTAAAAGTATAAATCTCTTAAAGGGGAGTAGTATCCGCTTTCACATCTTTAAAAAGCAGAATTACAGTTAATTTGCATCAAAAATTGGTGAATTCACACATATTTAATGATTCATTTAATTAATGATTCATACATATCAATAATATTCCCGCCTTACTTATTTTCAAACATTGAACATTTCCAAATATGGCCACTAGGTGGCGTAGAAGCAAATAAATCTTTTCAACCACCTTCCTGATTTTCTTTCCAATTGTGAGATTCAAGCAGTTTTGAACCTGTTAGCAGAGCTCAGAAATCAAATGCTTTCTGAACAGAGGCTTTTCAAAAGTTGATATTTTTGTATTGGCATTTAAACTGAGCCTGGATCATCAGTCTTGATTTAATTTCCCAAATCATGAAGCATCAAAATACTCCCATGATAAGATTTAAGCTTTTTACAAAAAAGAGTGTGAGGCATCATGACCTTTTAAATATACAGTATATTAAAGTGTATGAAATATTTTTCTTAATTATATCAATGTTTCTGGACAATTTTAACCAGAATTCCCATAGGTTTTCCCTTTAAATCCAGTAATACATCGTTTTTATATCATTTGCTTACACCCTGGTAGTATGCCATGAATGAGACCAAGAAAAGGGTACAAAATATGAGGGGAAAGAAATAAAACTCAGAAAAAAGTTGTGGAAATAGCTTACATAATTCAAAATCCTTGAAATTTATCACATACATGTCTCAACTATTTTGATTTTGTATAGAGGAAAGAGATATCTCATAATCTACTTATAATTCAATTATCTCCTCAATCAGAAAACCTCTTTTTTCTACCATGGCATATGCTGTTCGGCTTAAAAACCAAAGATTCTGGCTGTACAGTTTATATGTGTTCAGTAGGCTGGTTGTCCAAAGGCATTAGTTTGCTTAGGAAGATGGTGGTTGAATTTAACTTTTGATTTTTGATCTACGAAGGTGTGTTTAGAATCTCATCCAAAGTATGAATATATAACACGTGTGTCTGTGTGAATGTGTATATATCAATTTTCAAGTATAGGTTTACTTACCATCAGAATTTATATATATATATATATATATATATATATACACACGCATATCATAATTTGGATAATGAGGGGTATGGAAGCCAATGCTCACCTAAACATAGAGCACCAGGGTCCTTGAAAGCCATTCTGTAGAGTCATTTGACTTGTCATAGTCGTGGGTGATTTAAGAATAAGTGTTTTTAGGTTCCCATCAGATTACTTGGCAAAGGATCAGAAGACCTAGGTTCTAGTTCTAAGTCTAACACAAACTGACTATATGATCCTTAATATATATTCTTTAAATTACCCATCTGTAAAAAGGAAAAGAAGATTTTTATTGATGATTCCATTTCTAACATTTTATAATGTATACATTTACTGGATCTCTCTCCACCTCATGAATTCTCAAGCTCAGAAATATTTGAAATCCAGCAGTCTTCGGAAAATGGCAAAATTGAGACTAAAAACGCTAGATAAGTTTGCAAGAATATGCTTGCTCACGGTCACAGTTTTGGCATCCATCTCAGTGAATATGAATTCTCCTCCTTCAAAGTCATCATTCATATACAGGAGAGCACTGTAAGAAGAACGGGAAGCAATTTGTACTCTTACATGCCTACACAACATCATCGCAGAATACGGCAGACTGGGCATGAACTGACCAGCCCGATTAGTAAGTTTCCTCTGAACCAAACATTAAAATGATTGACCCTCCTAACCCTCAAGAGTAAGATCAGATGTAGGGTCATAACCCTGAAGTATTCATTTATTCCACTCAGGTTAAAGTTTTAATTATATGTCAAACTTCATCTCACATTTCACCTCCTCCAAGTAAAACCTAGCTAGGTTTAATCTAGCCCTCTGATCTTGCCCACAGAATCTAAAACTCTGCTCTTCCCTTTTATACTAATAACTCAAAAGGATGTATTTTTTCCTTAAGTAGCTGGAGAGATCTAGGGGGTGTATCCAAGTCTTGCAGATAGGGGGCGCTCAATAAACATGTTTGTGTAGAGCACAGTGTAGTAATAATTAACACATTATATACATGATGACTACAACTCCTGACTCTTTACACAGTAAAATATCATTCAATAAGAGAAAACTTTTTTGTCCTGAGTTTTCAGTTTCTTACTTACAAAATGCAGACATAGATAAATGATGTGATGAGATCCCTATGCCTGCTGAGATGCACACCCTGTGTTCTCAGACTGAGATATTAATACATATACCACAAGGAATATGTTTAAATAAAAGCCAAGTGAGAAAAGAAAACTCATAAACTTTACTTTTTATATTAAAACAAAATGGGCATTCTGTGGAATAAGATGCAACAAATCGTGCAGGGATTTTTAAGATAAAAATATGATATGCCGAATTCACTTCTCAGTTGTGGCAGCCGCTTCAGAAGATTATTTGAGCATTTCTGCTTCATTGAGATGAATGTGATGACAAGCAAAACAGATCAGCTTTCTAGTTTCCATGGGGTTTTGATAACTGTTGGGCAAAAGCTTGGTTCTGAATCAGATGCTGGCTGTACCTATAGTCCCGGAATGTGTAAGCAGGAGGCTCCTTCCAGCATTCATTGGCCTCTGGATCCAACAGGCAGTTGTCAGCATGGATGGGATGACTGAGGTCATTTCTTCTATCCTGTTGACCTGCCAGAAAAGGGAACAGGGAAGCATGAGAAATTGAATGCTGTAACCTCCAAGAGCAAAGCTGGCAAACTGTCTTCTCCCGTGGCTGGTGCCCCTTGCAAATTTGAGGATCAGAATGCAGATCAGGCTAAAGAACGCTGGGCAAGCACCGTGAAGAGACTCTGGTCCTGCTTTGATATGAACTTGATGTAAAAAACTGTGGGCAAGTCACACCTGTCTCTTCAGCTATAAAAGTTCTCCAATATAAATATACATGCAGAAATTCCATGCATTTCATGGGCTGTATTTTGTGTGGGGCAGTCAAAGGATGAGGATAAAATGCAAACGTCAAAAAGAAAAGATTTGGGCCCTGGTGGTGCAGTGGTTGATAGTCCACCTGCCGATGCAGGGGACACGGGTTCGTGCCCCGGTCCGGGAAGATCCCACATGCCGCGGAGCGGCTGGGCCCGTGAGCCATGGCCGCTGAGCCTGCGCGTCCGGAGCCTGTGCTCCGCAACGGGAGAGGCCACAACAGTGAGCGGCCCGCGTACTGCAAAAAAAAAGAAAAAGAAAAGAAAAGATTTGATGCAGCTGAAGGTTCACAAGTGGAAAAGTCTACTTCTGTGACATTCTCTCTCCCCTCCTCCTCAGGAGGGTATAGAAGAGAAGATGTAGAGAAAAAAATAGTGACGCCAGGGAGTGAGGAGGTCTCTGCCTTTTCAAGAACATTTCTTTCAACAATCCTTTTTATCTTCTATGCTTCCCTTCAATGCTGGTGGGCATAATGGTGACTGTAATTTCCAGGTTCTTGAACCCTGAAAAGTGAAACCTAGAGCAGAAAGGTAATTTTCTGTGTGATGGTAGCAAGCAGAAGAAATGGATTTGAAAGGGAAAATAGGCAGCGTGGTGGACTTCTAATACTTTAGGGGACCAGCAAAGTAGAAAAAGAGGGAAGGGAAAAATCAGAGTGAGTAAGCTTCTTTTGTGTTAGAAATGTAGAACTCTTCTGAACCGTTAGTCTGACGTGTTCATAGAGCTTTGTTCTGCACTGTTTTCTTTCTCATTTCACTGTGGGTAAAAGGGAACACGTTCAGATTCTGGAATCTCACCAGACAGGGCTGTGCGGCAGACCATGTGTGTATAGGAAAAATACAGGGTTGAGTTCAGCATGAAATAGGATTCGACGATCTTTCGAGCCTTCTCGCTGATGTCATAAAACAGACGGGCACTCTTCAGGGAGACTCGGCCCTCATAGCCAAACTGAAGAAAAAGAAGAATATTAGAAACCACTGGGTTGGTTGGAAGGCTTGACAAACCAGATGCTAGGTTTTATTAAGCCAATATAGGATGCTCATCTCTCTGTTGGCTCGTGGGAATACTACTACAGACTTGTGGATTTGGTTTAGGAAAATGAGGGAAAGTTGAGAGCTAATTAACCCTCTCCTCGTCTCTCAGAACACTTTCCTCACTCTTCTAGATAAACACCTCTCGCAGTACAGACTGATAACTTTTTTGAGTACGTTTTCACCATTGGACCTTGAGTTACTTGAGGACAAGGGGGTTGTGTATTATTTGTCAGATGCAAATCTAGGAAATAGAGTTTGATCAATTGATGACCGAATGGAGGAATGAAGGAGTGATTAAAAACAATGAAGGTGCCATTTCATACTTGCTCCCTTCAATGACCTGATAGGTCTATATCTTAAACCCTTCCTCTCTGCCATTCCCAGAAGATCCTGGGTTGACCATTAGGAATTCAAATCCAAAAGAAGTTAAGTTTTACTCTGAGTGCTTTCAGGACAGTTGCACCTTCAAACTTTTCATTGGGTGTATGGGGTGAAGTTTTTCCTCTGTATCCATCACCGACAAGCATGATTCCCTAGAAGCAAAATACAAGGTGCTTTATTAATGAGGATTATGAATTCATCACATCTCCCTTTCTGCCTTGACTGCCAGAAAGCTGAGAACCAAAGTCAATATTCAGAACCGTCTCCATTTTATTCTAGGATTCCGGTATCATTAATTCTTCCAAGCAAAACAGGGATCTTTGTTTAACTTTCACCCCACTTTTCCATTATGAAATGGTGCCACCACTTTCTGTAGAAATAGGTAGAATATAAATAATTAATATATTGATTAATTATTGATAAAAATAAAGAGACTTTTCCCAGCGACTTTATATGATAGGCAGGGCACATGCTGGATACAGTTGTCCTAGGAATGAAGCCTCTAGCTCTTCCAGACCCAAGAGCTATGCCCAGAGCTGGACAAAACTACAATCACCCCAACCCAAAGCCTATGAAAGCGCCTCCACAATCGATGTCCTTCTCCTAAAGAAAGTAACGTTTCAGGCCTGGTTTCCTGGCTCCAAGCAAGCCCAGGACCAAAGCTCTTCCATGCTCAGGCCAGACCAGCACAGTGGGGCTTCTGGTCCTCACACTAGCCACACTGTGCAGCTCCCGGCACTGTTCTTTTGACAGGACGTTATCCAGGAGGACGCGCTGAGTCCCGTTCAGCTGCTCGGAGTTGTAGACGAACGTGATGTTCTCATAGAGCAGAGGGCCACCTGCAGGGACAAAACACATGGTTGTCCTTTTTACCTCTGTCCACAAGGCGGGAAGCACAGAACACCCAACAGCTTTCAATGTGCAGTTCAGGAGTCAGTTTCCTCACGAATATTTCGGAACGCAAAGACAAATTACAAATCTGGAAGCCTGAGAAACGCAATATGGATTCAAGAAAAAGGCAGATGTCTGGCTACCAGGTTTCCCCATGATGTCGTAATTAATATATTACATTTGTATAGGATTTGGGGAATTGATAAACTACTTTTTTTTCACTTGATTCCAGGGATGATCCTGCAAAACAGACTGGGCATCTCATAGGATTCTTCTCGGTGAAGACTTTCCAGAATTTTCTCAGCAGTGGGCCCCTCCCTTCTCCACAGCCCTGGGTTCCTACCTCTGCCACAACATCTCATGCAATTACTGGATGACATGACCTCAGGGTAGGTAAAGACTGTTTAAAGAGACAGCAGGACAAACAAACAATTGAAAACCCAAAAAAGAAAGAAAAAGAAAATTATTTGACGACATGTTTGTGTCCTCAGTCCCACCGGTATCCAGGGCAAAACCTTCACCAAGTAACTCAGGGAATAAATGCCCATCAGGACAGTCATAACCAAGTCACCTGACTCCTTCCCAGTCTTTTTTCCACCACCTCCTGACTCTGGATGGTCTGACTTTTGGAATATCTCTTTTTCTCTGCTCTCTGGGCAAATTATATCGAGATATAGATATATATCTCCCCCACAGGAGAGTTTCCTGTAGGCACCTTTTCCCTCACTGGATAGAGCTTACAACTTTATAAAATAACCTCCATATTGGCTCTTCAAAGCATGATGCTTTGGGGCTATGTTTTAGGTGGCGAAATTACAAAATCTAGACCTGACATGGTTCTTTCCTCATAGAGAATAGGACTGAAGGACAAAGCCTCTGATGGTGAGGAAATCTTCCAATGTAACAAAGTACAAACACCTTGAAGCAGAAAACTGAATAGAAAAGCAAAACTTGTTTTTCTCCTCTTTATAATATTCTTCCTAAGGGACCTGATGCCTGTCAACAAGGGCAGCTCACCATGGAGGGCATGGGGGTGAGGAGGGCTCCTCCCATTCCCCCCAGTTGGGCAATGGTCACCAGCACACTGGTCTAAAACACATCATTGAAGGAGGAGACAACTGAAATTGATGTCTACTCTTCGGCTTTAAAACAGATTAGTCAAACTAGGGAACAGCGCTGAATGTTATTCATGCGCTGAATGAATGTTATTCAGCGCTGAATGTTACTACAGCCCATGATTAATGGAATATTAAAATAATGGGACAGGGTTTCTCAATCTTGAGTAATGTATGGTTATCTGTTAAAGCAAAAGTTCCCTAAGAAGCTTCAAATTATCTGTACTGCAATTTTATTTCCATGTTTGCAATCATAAAACCGTCGGTACAGTATTTATTTGTATAGCTTCATACAACTATCATGCCCAAACCCATTTACAAGATGAAATAAAAGCAAGACCATAAAATAAGCTAAATTCAAATTAACAATATTAATAAAACGGTTAATGTTATTTTGTGGAAACGAAAAAGCAATGTTCCACATGAATATTCTAATAAGTGGTCTGGCCCTGGTTCTTCTGAGCCAGCATTCCTCAGACTGCTTTTGGTGTGTGATGACTCATTCTACAAGTTTTCTCTGTTGAAACTACTGTGGAATCTTAGGGAACCATAATGAATTTTGGCCTTCATCTGGTCTTAATACATTATTCATAAGTTTGTCCTGCTTCAATTCTTCTTAGCCTTTGACCATTGAAGTGTTATTAACCGATGCCAGTGTGATGGTAACTGCATCCATACCCACCGAGGTATGAAATCTCATGGCAGTCCTTGGCTATAAGGGGTTATTCAGATGACCCACTAGTTGCCCCTCTTAATTTCTTTTTCCTCTTAAGTTTTTAAATGCCCACCAAAATTTATAAATACAGAATTTCTTGGATTCCAGGAATATATCCACAAGCTCCCAGTTTTAGTATCAATCTTTTGGATGAACAGAAAATACATACATAAATATCTAGATCTATCTATATCTATATATCTCCTACAATTCAATGTTTTCAAACTGTGTTCTACAGAAAAGTTTTTAATGAAAGAAGAGTTTATAGATCAAATATGTTTGGGAAGTACTGGGGTAAACAAAATTTAAGAGGACTTCTTGGAACTTTTAATATGTGAACAGGTATTATGAATATCCTAAGTATCAATATAATATGCAGCAGTTCTCACCCTTAAATAAACACAATACCCACCCTTTCTTCCTTGCCTCTTTCCTCCCTCCCTTCCTCCCTCCCTGTTTCCTCCCTCCTTCCCTCATTCCTTCCTTCCCCTCTTCCCCTTCTTTCCTCCTTCCCTCCCTCCCTCCCTCCCTCCCACCCTCCCATCCTCCCTCCTTCCTCCCTCCTTCCTTCCTATGGCAGAGAGACTCTAGGTTGGCCCCTAATGGTCATAGCCTCCTGGTACTCATAGGTTTGTGTACTTTGCTTCCCTCAAGTGTGGGTGGGGCCTGGAGCTTGCCTCTAACTAATAGAATATGGCAAAGGTGATGGGATATCACGTCTTTGATTGGTTACATAACATTGCAACTCCTATTTTGCTGGTTGACTCAGTCTGTTGCTTTCTCAGCTTATAGTCTGATGAAACAAGTGGCTGTATTGGACAGGCTCACACGGCAAGGAACAGAGGGCATCCTCCAGCCAACAGTCAACCAGAAACTGAGAAGAGCCTTCAGGAATCGAATTCTGTCATCTGGGCTTGGAAGAAGATAGTTTCCCAGCTTTCGAAGAGACGTCAGCCCTGATCAACACTTGATGGAACCTTGTGACAGACCCTGAAGCAATGGACCCAGCTAAGCTACCCCCATAGTCCTGACCCACAGAAACTGTGAGATAGTAAGTGTATGTTATTGTAAGCTGCTACCTTTGTGCTAAACTTTTTCATGGAATGGACCTCTTAACAAAAAACACAGTTTGTTTGGGAAAGATTGCTCTAATCTATATAGTTAAGATCCATATAGTTAAGAGACTGTCCCTCAAATATTCAAAAGTGAATGGCATATTCCATTTCCATTCAGAAACATAGAGAGAGATGTTCCTTCAACAAGAAAGACAAGATACTTGTACGTTCACTGGAAAGAATTTTCTAGTATAAAATTCGAATCGAAATGGAAGACAGATCAAGGGTTTAGTGGACTAGGTTGCTTTGTACTTTGCTATGTTTTTCTCATTTTCTATATTGAGAGTGTATCACCTTAAATATATTAGTTTATTTTCAAAACATGACTTCAAAAGTTATTTTAAAACATTCAGAAAAATGCCTACCATGCTTAAGCTCTGTATAAGTATTTTCCATTATTATGATGATCATTTTTGAATTGTTAAAATATGCCTGGGGGCTTCCCTGGTGGCGCAGTGGTTGAGAGTCCACCTGCCGATGCAGGGGATACGGGTTTGTGCCCGGTCTGGGGAGATCTCACATGCCGCAGAGAGGCTGGGCCAGTGAGCCAGGCCGCTGAGCCTGCGGGTCCGGAGCCTGCGTGTCCGGAGCCTGCGCTCCGCAACGGGAGACGCCACAACAGTGAGAGGCCCGCGTACCGCAAAAAAAAAAAAAAAATATGCCTGGTATATTGTGTTAAGTTTGAATGAGACATCTTAATAAGCATATGGCATAATGGATTATATTTAAAAGAGAGCTACTGGGCTATTGACAATTTCCCCAACCATGGCATAAGCAATATACAAAGATCAGGTGAAGGGACAGAGTGCAACACAGAGTCTAAAATACCTAAATTCTAACAGGTTTGGGCAGAATCTGTACTAGACATCTGCCTTTCATGTAGCTCGCACAACCACGACTAAGCACAGAGTTTCATACAGAGGTTTCCCACACATCCATTTAACAAAAAACAGGCAACTACCTACCCACTAACCAAAAGGAAAACAAAAATATAAAACGAAAAATAAATCCTGCCATTCAAAAATGCAAGTCTACCAGCCTATAAATGACTAGTAGCACAACAGACAGAGAAAAACATTAAAATAAAAATAAAAATGTAGTCCAATAAGTTGTGGTTCCTGGGATCTGATTTGTCAGCTTCAGCCAACTCTTAACCACAGCCTAAGGAGATTTAGTCAAACAACTTAATTCTTCTCTCATTCATAAAGTATGTGCCTGGCTCTGACTCTCCATTTGCAATAAAGAGGAATCTTATAGGAAAATGCTGTTTTGTGTTCACTGCCTGTGGCTCATGGCAAGAAGATATATTTTACCGTAAATACGACAAAGTCATATAAGTTACGACGGGAGTGTGCTAACAAGCCCTTATATGAGCACCACCCTTCACAGTTTACAAAAGACTTTCATATTCATCCTCTCCAAAGAGTTGCTATCCTTCTGTTACAGGTAAAGGACCATAAGGGTCAGAGAGAGTGAGTCTCTAGTTACCCATCACTCTGGAGAACATCAGAATAAGATAGGCTTCCTGACTCCAAGTTCAAAGTTATTTCTACTCTACCCCCGCTGACTCTGGGATTATTCTCGAGCAGGGCTTTTGGAAAACTGGTGGTTGAAAGAAGAATGGATAAGTGACAGATGTTTTTAATAAGATGACATGCATATTCCAAGGGCTGGAGTTGCTCTGGGGTGCAGTAGCCCTGAGTCACTCCCATCTTAATGCTCGGGAGACATCCAGTATGAATACTACTAAATACTGTTAGATAACCAGAGTAGATGACAATCTCTTTGTGGAAGATGAGAAAAGCTGAAATATATTCTATCTGGAAACACGCGTCCTTTCTTGCCTCCCTGACATCTGCTTTCAGCCAGACTAAGATGTTGAAAGTGTTTTCTCATTGGGAACTTTGCCTCTGTCTACCACTGTTCTTAATTTAGACAATATTTTGATCTCTAGTGACTGCACAGAAGGCTTTCCAGTAGGTTCCCAGGGAACATCCTATGATTCATTAGCCCATTAAACGGCAGAAATGACAGAATTCGGCAACCCAGTCAATCATGACCTTTCTCCATCCTGTGTAGTTTTCTGTTCTACTCTTCCCATTAGCCTTCTTAGTCAGTTGCTGGACATCAGATCCCCTGGTAGCCAGGAAAAACATGCTTTGAAATTTGGCAACTGTCCTGGAGCGTCCCAAACGTTTACAGCAAAGTGCCAGCTTACTGGCATGTACTTCCTGGGTGATTTCTCAGCTTAAAAAGCAACGTGAACTCTGGCTGACCATGAAGCTCTCTGGCACTCGTAAAATAGCTTCGGCTTTGTGACTACAAACTGAGGTCCAGGTCAGATTAGATGAGCATATTATCCTGTTTACTGCCTCAAACTGACTTGGAAGCTGAGGAAGGAAAGGGCTGGGAAATGTGAGAGCTGCAGAGAGCCAGAAGTTTTCAAATCAGCTAGAGGAATGTGCTGACATCTCTCCTGTTGGGGAAAGGGGGACTGTACGTATTCTCAATGCAGGTTTTTGAAAAACCTCTTCTTATCTTGCAATTATTTAATCAATAGGGGATACATTTCAGATACCTAGACACTCCTATGTTTCATCATCAGGTAAAGAACAGAAAATGGGATTTGGATTCAAAAGCCTGCTTAACCTATTACAAGCTCTGAGGCTTTGGATAGGTCACTAAATCTCTGTGAGCCTCAGTTTTCTTACCTGTGAAGTGGGGGACACTTGTCTCACAGGAGATGCTGCCAGTATTAAAATGAACTGTATATAAATTTGCTGGGAAAATTGTAAAACATATAGAAGTAATAATAATTGTTAAGGATTACTACTGTTGTTAGTACTACACTTGCTAATAAGTTATGATTACAACAATGTTTGGCTCTATTTAAAACCTACGTTTGGCAGCACTCCACCTATGGCTCCAGTCATTTTGAGGTTATGTAAACAGGCATCTAATATCCTGCTGTCTCCATCTCTGAGCCTTTTGTGTCCTTTGTTTCATCCACTTGAATGGCTCCCTCCACACTTCTGTCAATCTAATCTAAATTCTACTGATTTCTCAAAGCCCTGATCAGATATGTGCCTCAAGGATCTTAAGTTAACTAATATCCCGTGTGACCTGTCTCTTCAAATTTCCCCCGATACACAGTCTATTCCATGCTCTCTATCACTCCCCTCCAATGTGAGAGAAGTAAGCCAGGTAACCTCTCCAAGCCTCGGGTACTCAGCTGAGGATGGCAATGATCATATAGTCCCTGCCTAGCTCACAGGACTCCTGTGAGTGAATTTGGTAGCGCTTTTGTTGAAAATCAAAAGTAGTGATATACACAACTGAGACATTCTTGTTTTTGAGACTTGCTTTCAGAATTTTATGAACTGGAGTAGTTTAGTCCTATTCTTTATTTTTCAGTGAAAATGGGTTGTGCCCTGATCCGGGTAAGAACTGGCCAAGTCCCAGCCTCCCCTTCCCCTCCTTCTAAAAGTAAAAGTGCAACAATACTTACCCTCTCTTAGGTCTCGGTCTATCTTGGGTGATGACATTTTCTGCGTTGATAATCCATGAACTTCTGCCCCCTCCACATTCACTCCTGAAGGGACCCTGCCCATTCAAAGAAAAAAGTTGAAATAGCAATATCCCATTGAATGAAGATGTTCAAAGGCAAAGGATACCTTACTCAGGTAGTCTATGACTTCATATTGTATATTTTTGTGGTTCACAAGTCCACATCTTTCAAGATCAGATTAGATGCCATTGCCTCCGTGAAGCTCTTCTCTATTTTCCCAATGAGTGTGCTCTATTTCACTTCTCTAAATCTTCTTAGCAACCTTTATTACAGTTCATTGTATCCATAATGTAAACCCCTTGAGATTAGACTTTGAGTACCAACAGAGCATGAAACAATGATCACATGCATGTTTACAATGCTCAGAGTGTTGTATTATATGTCTTGAATAGAGAGCGCATCACTGAAAGATGGTTGAATTGAAATAAGTCATGTCCGAGTGTAGTGGTTCTTGACTATTCCAAGATAGAAGACATGAGTTTGTGTCAAACCTTGTGAACACACACAATAGCATGATGCCCTTTCAATATATACAAATTGAGCAAATCCAAATATGCATATACATTCTTGGATCTCTTGCAATAATTTGAGGTCACCCAGGGGTTGAGCCCTTGAAGCTCAGTGAAAGACCACAAGATTTTGAATAAGAAGGTCTGGATCTGCCAGTCCTTCAGGGTGAGACACTGAGTCCTTTGCCTTGTCAGGGCCTCAATTTCTGATTTTGATAATAACCTGGACCTCAAGATCTTGTGGACTAAGAATGCCGCCTGCCATATCAGTAAACGAAGGATGTTGCGACCATCAAGCCATCAGCCACTACAGCCTCCCCTGATGGTGAGCCCTGAAGGAACTGAGGATGGAAACAGGATACTGCACCATCAAGCAGTCAGGCACTGCAGCCTCCCCCCAAAGGTGCACCCTGAGGGGACTCAGGATGGGAAAACACAGGACACTGGCCCCAGAGAGCTGAGGTGCATATCAAAGGAATGATTTCAATGAGCCCAGGCTCTTAAATCTTCCCATACATAGAAAAGCGAAAACTGTAAATTAACTAGGGATGTCTTGTTTTCTTTAATTAACAGTAATCTTTTGCTATTCTGACTGTCTGCTTTTTGTTACAAAACTCCTATACATCCTGGCTCCTCCCTTAACTCTTGGGAGCAGTCCCTCAGAGCCATCTGAGAGGCTGTCTCCCAGGCTTGAAGTCCTCAGAAAATCCACTAAATAAAACATAACTCTCAGTTTTAGAGTGCATTTTTTTTTTCAGAGGACAATCTCAAACATGTAACTCCAAAATTCTATGACTCCTTGAAATGCTCAGAACATGTAAACTGACTTTTGACATCTATCATTTTAAAAATTGAGTTTTCTTCATTTCTGATTGAGGTCATGACACTTAATATTTTAGCTCGCTGTAAAACTTTCCGAGCTTGATGCTTTCAAATAAATGCAGTAAGAAAATTTAGCATGAAAAAGAGAATTTAATTGTTTTTTTCCTACTAAAAAATAAAAAACAGCATCCAACTTTCTCTGATTTAGAGTCACAGAACATTTAGCCATTAGAGATCACCAGATTCAACCCCTTGATGTGAGGAAAAGCATGAGACCCAGAGAGGAAGATAAATTATTTAAGGTGCCTTGGAAATAAGAGAAAGAGCTGGGACCAGAATGCAGAACTCCTAATTCCCAGTTCAGAGCTCTTCTAATTATATCCCTTTGCCTATTTCATAGAGCCCAAGTTCTTTACAATAAATATGATTCTAAGTATTTCTTCTCATTACAAATAAACATTCTAAATGGAGAACTTACTGATTCTCATCCTGTCGTCCTCCATATTGAATCCAATAATTCTGTTTTAAATTAAAAAAAAAAAACTCAGTAGTTTTGTCACTAAAATTCCATGTACAGAAATAAGATAAAACACTCAAAAGACCTAAAATATTAGAAAACTTGCAGATTATATAAAGCTATAATATAGTATTTATTTTTAAATTTTAATAAAAGGGAAGGCTAAGGTTGGTGCAATTTTGGTTAAGACAAAATGGATTTAAAAAATAGCATGGAATTAGCCTGGGCATCCATCCTTTTGTCCAAGAAAGTGATTTAGAATTTGGTAGCAATAAGACACTTAGAAGATAATTAAGTATAACTCCTTGCACTTTTATAAATAAAACAAATAAATAAAAAGTCCAGTCTGGTTAATCATCTGTATAGGATCATAAAGTAAGTGATTTTTTTTCCTAGGGTCATTTGGGATAACTTTCAAAAATAGTAAGACCGGATATAAACATATTAGAAATGTTACACTAGAAATGTACATTAAAATTATCCTAATTTTAAAAATGTGTCAATAAAAATATAACATAACTAAGAAATAGACGAAAAATGTGTCACAAATAGGATATATTATAAACAGTGCTTTTTATATTAACTATTAACATGTACAGTATATAAAGAACTTATATAGCAATGAACAGATAAATTAATAAAATACATGTCCAGGTAAATCAAATGAGAGGACAAATAATAATAATTTGTGAAAAGTTGATTTTTGCTGGTAATCAAAGGAATACAAATTAAAACAACAATGATGCACCATTTTGTACATAATATATTAGGCATATGAATGAGTTTAAGATGTTATTTCTCATTGCTGAGAAGTTCATGGTAAAACCATAAACGTTTATGAAATGTTAGGAATAATGAAGGTACCAGAAAACTCCCCTAGAAAAAAAAATTTCAAAAATTTTAAACCTTCTCATACCCTTTGATGGCAGAGTTAACCCACTTCTGGGAATTTATCCTATGGATATAGTTCAGTAGAAAGAAAAATGCTTAATGCATTCATTTGGGCACAAAAAGCCAAAAATAAATAAACAAATGTTCAACATCAGGAAAAGGATTAACTTACTTATTGTACATCAACTATAGATGTAGCTAAAAATAATTTTGAAAGCTGTAAAGATATAGAAATTGCTTATGCTATCCCAAATAAAAATCAATAAATAAAAATAGAAATCTATATATAGAGAGGTACTACTTCTAAAAAAGGGATGTCTTCATATGAAGAATGTTTAAAAGACAACATGGGGGACTTCCCTGGTGACACAGTGGTTAAGAATCTACCTGCCAACTAAAAGCTGGTTCTTTGAGAAGATAAACAAAACTGATAAACCACTAGCCAGACTCATCAAGAAAAAAAGGGAGAAGACGCAAATCAACAAAATTAAACATGAAAAAGGAGAAGTAACAACTGGCACTGAACAAATACAAAGGATCATGAGAGATTACTACAAGCAACTATATACCAATAAAATGGACAACCTGGAAGAAATGTACATATTCTTAGAAAAGCACAATGTTCTGAGACTGAACCAGGAAAAAATAGAAAAGATAAACAGACCAATCACAAGCACTGAAATTGAAACTGTGATTAAAAATCTTCCAACAAACAAAACCCCAGGACCAGATGGCTTCAAAGGAAAATTCTATCAAACATTTAGACAAGAGCTAACACCTATCCTTCTCAAACTCTTCCAAAATATAGCAGAGGGAGGAACACTCCCAAACTCATTCTACGAGGCCACCATCACCCTGATACCAAAACCAGACAAAGATGTCACAATAAAAGAAAACTACAGGCCAATATCACTGATGACCATAGATGCAAAAATCCTCAACAAAATACTAGCAAACAGAATCCAACAGCACATTAAAAGGATCATACACCATGATCAAGTGGGGTTAATCCCAGGAATGCAAGGATTCTTCAATATACATAAATCAATCAATGTGATACACCATATTAACAAATTGAAAGATAAAAACCATATGATAATCACAATAGATGCAGAAAAAGTTTTTGACAAAATTCAACACCGATTTGTGATAAAAACCCTCCAGAAAGTAGGCATAGAGGGAACTTACCTCAACATAATAAAGGCCATATATGACAAACCCACAGCCAACATTGCTCTCAATGCTGAAAAATGAAACCATTTCCACTAAGATCAGGAACAAGACAAGGTTGCCCACTCTCACCACTATTATTCAACATAGTTTTGGAAGTTTCAGCCACAGCAATCAGAGAAGAAAAAGAAATAAAAGGAATCCAAATCGGAAAAGAAGAAGTAAAACTGTGACTGTTTGCAGATGACATGATACTATACATAGAGAATCCTAAGGATGCTACCAGAAAACTACTAGAGCTAATCAATGAATTTGGTAAAGTAGCAGGACACAAAATTGATGCACAGAAATCTCTTGCATTCCTATATACTAATGATGACAAATCTGAAGGAGAAATTAAGGAAACACCCCGACTTACCATTGCAACCAAAAGAATAAAATACCTAGGAATAAACCTACCTTAGGAGATAAAAGACCTGTATGCAGAAAGCTATAAGACACTGATGAAAGAAATTAAAGATGATACAAACAGATGGAGAGATATACCATGTTCTTGGATTGGAAGAATCAACATTGTGAAAATGACTCTACTTCCCAAAGCAATCTATATATTCAGTGCAATCCCTATCAAACTACCACTGGCATTTTTCACAGAACTAGAACAAAAAATTTCACAATTTGTATGGAAACACAAAAGATCCCGAATAGCCAAAGCAATCTTGAGAATGAAAAACGGAGCTGGAGGAATCAGACTTCCTGACTTCAGACTATATATACTACAAAGCTACAGTAATCAAGACAGTATGGTACTGGCAGAAAAACAGAAATATAGATGAATGGAACAGGATAGAAAGCCCAGAGATAAACCCACACACATATGGTCACCTTATCTTTGATAAAGGAGGCAAGAATATACAATGGAAAAAGACAGCCTCTTCAATAAGTGGTGCTGGGAAAACTGGACAGCTACATGTAAAAGAATGAAATTAGAACACTCCCTACCACCATACATGATAATAAACTCAAAATGGATTAAAGACCTAAATGTAAGGCCAGACACTATAAAACTCTTAGAGGAAAACATAGGCAGAACACTCTATGATATCAATCACAGCAAGATCCTTTTTGACCCACCTCCTAGAGAAATGGAAATAAAAACAAAAATAAACAAATGGGACCTAATGAAACTTAAAAGCTTTTGCACAGCAAAGGAAACCATAAACAACATGAAAACACAACCCTCAGAATGGGAGAAAATATTTGCAAATGAAGCAACTGACAAATGATTAATCTCCAAAATATACAAGCAGCTCAAGCAGCTCAATATCATAAAAACAAACAACCCAATCCAAAAAGGGGCAGAAGACCTCAATAGACATTTCTACAAAGATGTACAAATTGCCAACAAACCCATGAAAGGGTGCCAAACATCACTAATCATTAGAGAAATGCAAATCAAAACTCCAATGAGGCATCACCTCACACCAGTCAGAATGGCCATCATCATAAAGTCTACAAGCAATAAATGCTGGACAGAGTGTGGAGAAAAGGGAACCCTCTTGCACCGTTGGTTTGAATGAAATTGATAGAGCCACTATGGGGAACAGTATGGAGGTTACTTAAAAAACTACAAATAGAACTACCATATGACCCAGCAATCCCATTACTGAGCATATACCCTGAGAAAACCATAATTCAAAAAGAGTCATGTACCACAATGTTCACTGCAGCACTATTTACAATAGCCAGGACATGCAAGCAACCTAAGTGCCCATCAACAGATGAATGGATAAAGAAGATGTGGCACAAATATACAGTGGAATATTACTCAGCCATAAAAAGAAATGAAATTGACTTATTTGTAGTGACCTAAGAGTCTGTCATACAGAGTGAAGTAAGTCAGAAAGAGAAAAACAAATACCATATGCTAACACATATATATGGAATCTAAAAAGAAAAAATTGGTTCTGAAGAACCTAGGGGCAGGACTGGAATAAAGACAAAGATGTAGAGAGTGGACTTGAGGACACAAGGAGGGGGAAGGGTAAGCTGGGACAAAGTGAGAGAGTGGCATGGACATATATACACTACCAAATGTAAAATGGATAGCTAGTGGGAAGCAGCCACATAGAACAGGGAGATCAGCTTGGTGCTTTGTGTCCACCTAGAGGGGTGGGATAGGGAGGGTGGGAGGGAGACACAAGAGGGAAGAGATATGGGGATATATGTATATGTATAGCTGATTCACTTTGTTATACAGCAGAAACTAACACACCATTGTAAAGCAATTATACTCCAATAAAGATGTTAAAAAAAAAAAAAAAGAATCCACTTGCCAGTGCAGGGGACATGGGTTCGATCCTTGGGCCAGGAAGATCCCACATGCTGCAGAGCACCTAAGCCCGTGTGCCACAACTACTGAGCCTGCACTCTAGAGACCATGAGTCACAACTACTGAGCCCACATGCCACAACTACTGAGCTCACACTCTGCAGCTACTGAAACCCACATGCTCTAGGGCTCGTGTGTTGCAACAACTGAGCCTGTGTGCTGTAACTACTGAAGCCTGCGTGCCTACAGCCCATGTTCCACAACAAGAGAAGCCACCTCAATGAGAAGCACATGCACTGCTACGAAGAATAGCCCCCGCTCGCCACAACTTGAGAAAGCCAGAAAGCCCGGGCAGAGCAAGATCCAACGCAGCCCAAAAAAATAAGAAAAAACAAGACAACAGGGACACGTGGAAAAAAGTAGTCAGCATGGTAGGTAGTACGATTGTGACTGATTCTGTTCTTTTGAAGTCTTTTTATTGTTTAAAATGTTTAAGAGAAATGTTTAAAAGAAAATACAAAATGTTGTATACAGAAATTAGGAAATAAAACAATCCTGAGGCAAACATATCATATTCAAAACATTTCTTTCCTATCCAAGTATATTTGCTTTTGACTTTAGCTCTCAGTGACATGGAAATCTGTTAAAGTCTTTTACAGTTCATCACATATACAGAGTAAACACCCCCCCTCCCTCCAGTGTTTGTTTACAAAATGCAGGAGATTATGATCTTCAACAAAAGGGGCTGGGGAATACAATCATAAATAAGAAGTCCACCAAATAGTTCCTTTAAAGACCTTTTCCTCTCTCCTCTTTGTTCTTACCGGCTCAGTGTATGAAAATCCCAGACCCTCTGCAGCTGATTTTATTAGTTCTGATTCCAGTTTATGATGCTTCACAAACATCGCCAAATCCTACAGAAAAAAAAAAAAAAGAAAATGTATATTTAAATAACAGTTAAAAGGTATGATTAATGTTCAAGTGGAAATAATTTTCTTTAGACAGTAACAAATGAGCTAAAAAAATATTCACAGCTGCAAAAAATGTCTCTATCTCTGTAGATTTTCACGAGCTAGCACATAGGCGAAAAACACGCTTTTAGCATTACTAATTAAAGTTGCAAAGAACTGAGTCCTAGAACCTTTACTAAATTGTTAGCTATCTTTAAGAGAAGTGTTATATTTTTACCAACTCTCCCCAGAGCACTGAGCAGAATAACGAGTTTCTTCTCAGAACATGGGTCTCACCTCTCTGGCCTGGATAGATGCTGGGTCAGTGCTGTCATCCAACAGACTCTCATAGTAATCCACATTGTCTCTGACATCCTCGTCATCTGGATGGAGTAGAAGATAGGCCTTGGCACACTCCAAGGCTTTCACATACTCGCCAACTGAAAAATCCAGGAGTTGCGGCATTAGAGTCAGCCTAGGTTGGTCTACAAAATTTTTAAAAGATATGTCAACATGTCCATGAGAGTCAGCATGAAATGATCAGTAAGAGGGAAGATGCTACCTACTGTATAGCACAGGGAACCCTACTCAGTACTCTGTAATAACCAATATGGGGAAAGAACCTGAAAAAGGATGGATATATGTATATGTATAACTGAATCACTTTGCTTTACACCTGCAACTAACACAACATTGTCAATCAACTGTACTACAATATAAAATAAAAATTAAAAGAAAAGAGGGAAGATGCCGTGAGGCTGAGTAGAAGCAGCAGAAATAGTTGCAGATGAAAGGAAGGACAGGATTTCAGGCATTCCAAAGGTACTAACTTCGGTCTGCTATGCTGCTAGATGTCTTCAACAAATTATCAAAAGCTCCACCTGAAGATATTTGCTGGCAACTTACATTATTTAATACAGTAGAATTTTTGAAGTTAATTCTGATTTTTGTACTGAATTTGAAAACATGGTATCTAAGACCAATTTCAGCAATCCAAATTCTATTAATTGCTTTTAAACATAAGATGCTCACTCTTTCTTTCTCAATGAGATAAATGGAAATTAAAACTTTATTGAGATATCAATTTTCACGTAATGATTTGGGAATATTTAAAATTTGATAATATATTCTGTTGCTGTGAAATGAAAAGTGTACTCCGAAAAAACATCTGTCAAAATTACAAACAAATAAACCATTTGATGCAGCAACTGTACTTATAGAAAATTATCCTATAGATATTTACATGCAAATGTAAATGACATACCGGAAATATTATTCATTTGATCATTGATTGTATTAGTAAAATATTACAAACAACACAATGCTCATCAGTAAGGAGACACATTAAATAAATTACAGTACGGTGATATCTAGATATAAAGAAAAATTAATGAGGAAGATCTTTATGTACTGAAACAACTAGATTGAACCATATAAAACTGCCAAAATTTGACCATTTTTGACCAAGCAAAAGGGAATTTCATAGGTCCAACATACTAAAAAAAATCTGATATGTATCGTTAAGTGAAGAAAACAATGTGAGCAAGAGTGTAAATAATGTGCTATATTCTATGTGTAAGAGGATAAAATAATTCAGAGACAGTGTATGTGTGTGTGTGTGTGTGTGTGTGTGTGTGTGTTGTTTCTGTATAAAATTTTGGAAGGGTATATAAGAAACTTTGGATTTTAGGGCATGAAGTTGGGTTATGGGGAAAAGAAAGAGAGAGAGGTTTTTAAATATTTAGTCTTTAAACCTGTGAGTATATTATCTTTTCAAATTAAGTCGAAAAATTAAATTGAAAAATCACATAAAATATCAATCTAGTATAACTTTCAGGGCATTGTCACAACATTTGCCCACTTGTGGTTTCACCGTCTGCTCTTGTTCTGAGCTGTAGTGATGTGAGGTGAGAGAGGAAATGCACACACCCCCATAGCTTGATTACAACTGAGGAAGGTGGAGGACTAACCCACAAAAATTCGATGTCTCTTGTGATGAGCCACACCCCTTCCCCCCAGAGTTTTTCACAGATAATCCACGCTTTACCTCGATAGTAGGCAAACTGCAGGTAGTCATAATGTAGGGGAAGAAAGTTCTCGATTGGTGAGAGGCGGCCAGGGCGGGTGGCAAGTTCCCTCACACATTCATGCTGACAAACCAGCACCTGCACATAGTGATCTGAAAAACAAGAGCCAAGATGTGGGTTTCTCTCATCTGCTCAATGTCCAGACTTCAAAGTGAGAACCACGGTTACACAGGGCATCTCACTTCACCATACACTCTTAGATATCATTATTATCCTCATTCATGACCAGAAATCCTTTTCACAAAGAAAGTAAGTGACTCGCCAAGGCTTCCTAACCAGTGATCACTAGACTAATTACTAGTAGATACTAAATGTATAGCACTCTTGCCTTCCGTGTATTCTTTTTCTACATCTCCTGAAAGTGACATAGGCCATCTCATCCCACCCATACCCAGCTGAGTAGATTACTTTCTTATTTAACAATTTGGGGGTCTCTTTTTGGACTTTAGATGGCCTGAAGTGCCCTGGAGTCAGGATGGGAAGTTCAGATCCCAGTTATGTTAAGGACCGGTTGAGAGAAAGGAACTGCCATGTACGTGGGGAGTTCACATAGAGAAGTGAAGCCACAATGCTCTTTTTTCTTGTTAATATTTTCAAGCCACTTTTACTAAAGGGGAAATAAAAACAACATTCCTTTACATCTATTGATCAGGAACCTATTCTACCCAGTTACAAATTAGTCTATCACCTGGACATTATAAATCCTAATACTGTAGGGACTGGTAAAATAAGAGAAGGATGAAAGCTAAAGAATTTGAAGAAGCATTTTGCCCCTTTTTCTTTGTTCCCCTTTCTTTGTTCCCATTCTTCTCACTTGCAAACAGGCGAGGACCCTGCAGTGCAGGGGTTTTCATGCTCCTTTTAGCTCTGGGTTCTATCTCATACAAGCATGAGCTGAGGAAACACAAGTGGCTAATGTCCCAGAAAGAAAACGCTTCTTACATTTTGCCCCGACTCTGATTTCTACAATGAAGATAGAGGCAGTCTTTTCCATTAAGAGAATAGTCCATTCATGCTTGTGCAGAGCAAGTTCTCCTGAGAATAATGATAAAACCACCCAACTTCATGACTGTACAGTCTAATCCACAACTGCCTCCTTTCAAAAGGCTTTCTATTACGCAGTTTGGCTTGTATCTAGATGACCTTGAAGAGGGGCCCCCAAAACACAACAGAAAGGAAATATC